TTAGTTGTTGTGTGGGGGAGGTTGTTTATTTGGTTGGAGAAGCAATAGGATTCAGTAGAGTGTGTTGGGGGGCGCAGTGTTTCTGTTTGGAATGAGGAGAATTGAAAAGCTCTGAAGAAGGAAGAGGAAAGCAGTGAAGGCCCAGGAGGTCAGGCCGCAGGCGGGCAGAGGCGCTGACCACTTCAGCACACAGTCTGCCTGAGCACCTTGCAGACCTTACTTTTGAGGGCCTGACCTCTCCCAATATCTCACTCAAGTGTAATGGAGGCCCGGGGACTCAAGCTGGCCCGTATTGTGAGCATGATGTTTGGTTTTGCATTCAGCCCAGGAGAGAATATTTGAGTACATCAGAGAAGATACAGTGGAAAGAGCGATTGCTATGGAGAGAAAATAGACATAGTTTGAGGTTCGAATCCATTGCTCTGCCATTTCTTAACTTTGTGATTTTCCTTTTTTTCTCCCCAAATGCATAGCAAGGAGCTCAATAATTGTACTTTTTTTTCCCTATCTGTGGGAACATTCATTCAACAAATATCTGCTGGGCATGGGTTGTGTGCTGAGTCACATCTACATATTGGGATGCAGCGATGAGTCAGAAATTATGTATTCCCTTAAGAGATTCCCAGACCAGAGAAGGGAAGATGACCACAAAGAGAAACTTGTAAATAGATAGATAGATAGATAAAATAATGGGCGGGAGTGGTACCAAGCCTGCATCTAGGATTGGCAATGGGCTCAGAGAAGAATGACCAGTACTCCTCAATGGGACAAGTATGAAGCCTGTGATAAAGCTTCTAAATGCTTCATTACCTCCTCCTAGCCTTCATCTTTTTATTCTGGCTTGTCTGCCTCAATATTCTCTCTTCAAAAAAAAAAAATCTAGGTGTATCATGTGTAAGTTGTAAGCTGCTTCCAACTCATTCTAGAAGGAAGCTGTTAGAAATAAACAACAGCCTCACTGAGGAAGGCTTCAGAAAATTACTCAGGATCTGGGTCTTACAAGATGGAAACAGACCCCTGATGGACCTTGGGGTCCATCCCACAGGGGGGGAGCCCTGGGCACCCAGAAGCATCAGGACACACCAGATGCAAAGGCAAGATGAATTTGTTGTGGTTAGGTACGAGTGGGAGAGATGGAGCAGTTCTATAATCAGGATTAGATCAGTGTGCTGTGTGAGGAGGTTGGACTTGTCAATCACTTATGTGTGGGATAGATGTTAGGGGATACAGCAGGGCTGTGGCATGATTTCTGTGTTTTAGGAAGATGTCTCCTGTGGTTGTGTGGAAGATGGGATGGAAGTTTGTGAGCCGATTTTAGAGATTCAGGACTGACCTTACACGTGGGCAGTGAAAATGGGAGAGAAGGCAGTAGACATGGAAGAAAAATGTAGGCTAGGTCTGTTAACTAGTTGCTCATGTTGAAGAGTACACAGGTTTCTGTTTTGAAAAGCTACAGTGATGTGGCTGAAATCAGACATTAGGAGATTTGGTAAGGGAATAATTAGGGGTTTTAATTAAGCTTTGGAGACTTGGAGATTTCTGAAATGCCCAGAGGGAAAAGCCAAGTCAGAGGTGGTTGGTAGATAACCATAACATTAAACAGTGTGTTTGATGGTTAGGGGAGAATATGGGACTAGGGAGAGAGGTTCTCCTGACACCCCTATTTTGTTTAAATGAACATCTAAGCATTTAACTGTGGGCAAAAGTTACACACAAAGGGGAGCTCCAAGTCTCAAGGATAGATCTCAGTACTGAGAATCTTATAGTGATGCAGTAAGAAGTAATTTCTCCCCAACCCTGGCCTAGAAAAGAGCTTGTGGTCAGAACAGAAGGCAGCGGGGTGTAGGAGCATGTTCTAAGGAAGATGGGAAGCAGGCTGGAATGAGAACACCCACAGAAGGGACCTTCTGCATTTCGGACTTGTTTTCTGTGATGCTTTAATGATTCTAAAGGCATTTCAGGGAAGCCTGGGCAGGGAATGGTTTAGAAGGGAGCTGTGAAGGGGGAAGTGAAGAAAGGAATCAGGACCTTTAAGAACCATCATCTTGTTTAAAAGGGGACTAGAGGGTGGGAGGACAGAAGAGGTCAAGGAGGAGGAGGGCCTCTGCCCGAAGCACACGGCTGGTTCTGCTCACAGACACAGATGGTAAAAATCAACACTTTGAAATTACTTGGTCCCTTGGAGTTGGTAGGGAAGGGGAAGGAACACAATAGGGAAAGCAAGTTTAGCACTAAGTTTAAGACTGCAGAGCCATCTGAGAGCAAAAAATAAGGTGGAGCCACAGAAAGGGAATGACCACTCCCGGTAGCTAGGTCTGAGTGTGTGAGAACAAAATGAAATCATGAAGGCATCATAGCTGTTGCAAAGATCTTGGAAACTAGGCATCTCGGTCAGGCATGTCATCTTAGTACTTGGGAAGCTGAGGCAGGAGGGTCAGGAGTTTAAGGCTAACCTGAAAGAAAGGAAAAAAGGAAGGAATCTCAACTTCCTTTTGGACCATAATTTACAAGAAGTCTGAAAATGATATTTCTGATGAAGTGTGTTCCAGCCACCTCCGCCCTTCTCCCTCCTGGGACTTGAACTCTAGATTGGGTCACTGTTCCTGAGCTTTTATGCTCAAGGTTAGTAGTGCTCTACTACAAAAACCACTTTGTGGTTTTTGGTGGTTAATTAAGAATGAGACTCTAATAGACTGCCCTGACTGGGGTAGTTTTGAACCTCAATCCTTGGATCATCTGTTCTCATATCTCAGCCTCCTGAGTAGCTAGGATTACAGGTGTGAGCCATCAGCACCCTGCTATAAATTCTTAGAAAAAAAAAAGAAGACATTTTAGATGGTAGTGCATTTAGCCATAAGGTGTTCAAATTGCAAATGACAAGCATGTGCCTGTGGTTCATGGATCACGCCTCTAATCCTAGCTACTCAGGTGGCTGAGGTCTGAGGATTGCTGTTCAAAGCCAGCTAGGTCTGGATAGTTTCAGGCTCAAGTGGTTGGTAGAGGGTGAGCAAAAGAAATCCTGGGATAGATAGTGCCCAGGTCCTGAGATGAAGCCCCCTGGACTGACACATACACACACACAAAGCATGTGGGTTTCACCATGTATTTCACAAGTAATTATGAGGTGCCTACTGTATACAGCTGTCCTCAAGGAGCTCTGGAACACAGATAGTATTACCTGCCTTTGCCACTTTTTTGTTTTGTTTTGTTTTCAGCATTGCTTAACCTACAAAGTTAAACCTGACTATGGGCCTTATGGTACAGTGCTGGTCTTAAGCAAAGGAGCTCAGGGACAGCACCTGGGCTCTGAGTTCAAGCCCCACAACCGACCGAAAAACACCAAACAAACCTAGAAGTGGAGTGAGGCTCAAGTAGTAAAGCACTAACTGTAAGCTGTAAAGTAAGAGTTCAAGCCCTAAACGGGACCATTTGATTCCATTGGAGTCTTCTCTTTGTTCAGCCATTAGACTCATTTGCTTCAGATGTAATAAGAAAATGTGTGTCTTTTGGGGAGTGAATGGTGGAAGTTAAATTGCAGAAAAAAACCACTAACAGTACTACTAATATGGGCTGCCAGCACTAGAAGGAATTTTAAAGAGCATCCACTGTAGCTGGGATTTATAGATGAGGAATTGTCAGAGAGGAAAAGAGGACTTGCTTAATGTCAGAAAATGGGTGACAGAGTTAAGAGCGGTTTTCAGATGCTATGTTAGCCTTTTATTAGTATACCCTAGATAATCAGCTATAGAAAGAAAAGGGTTGTCAGGCTCACAGTTTCAGAGTTTTCAGTTGATGAGCACTTTGGTCCTATTGCTTTGAGCCTATGGCAAGGAAGCATATCATGGCAGGAGCCTGTGGCAGAGCCCATGGTCAGGAAAGTGAAAGAAGAGAAAAGGAAAGGGCTAGAGTCTCCCTTTCCTCTCCAAGTTCATGCTCCTAGTTCTACCTTCTCCCACTAATACCGCACTGGGGACCAAACCCCTTATTCATGAGGGACAGTCAAGATCCAAGCCTTATCAGATGAAATGTTGGGAAAGTCTTGATGGTACCTTGGAAAAAAGGGAGTCTTAATGAGAGTTTTCCAGAAAGGAAGATAGGGGTTCTTGAAAACAAACCACCAGTCTTCCACTTGCAACTCTTCTATTACAAGGCCTTTTGAGAAGCCTCTGTTTTTCTCTAATCTCTAGTTTAAACGAAGACTGAGGTCTTTGTTTAAAGTTTTAATATGTTGGAATTCAGACTGCGTCAAAGGTAAATTATTTTTTGAGATATGAGTCAGGAGATAGAGGAGGTGATAACATAGGTTACAATTTTTGTCTTTTGGCAGGCCTCCGTGAGGGGAGTGTGTGCCACATTTCCTTTGGATCCTCTGCTGTATCTGTATACCTCAGGTCTGAGTCTCCTATTTTGTGATACTACTGTCATCTAATGCTAATCCTATCCTAGCAGGAATTAAGGTTCCTGTTCTAGGAGTTCCTATTTTGGGGCAGTTTCCCAGGCCATGTCTCAGTCACTGTTTAGCACACTTCCTTGGCTCCAGGCTGATTGTCCTACAGTAGCAAGCACCGTGTTACATCTTTGTGGAATTGTGAGCTTTCCACCTTGGGGAACACCTTTTCTCTGACACTTGCCTAGGGTAGGTTCTCTGCCTGCCCTCATGCATCTTGTTACTTTTGTTTTCTACTCCCTTACCCAAGTGTGTAATGAACATCCTCATTTCTTCCTTTGAAACGGTCCTTGATATGTACTTCTGCCTTTCAATGAACATTGTCTCCCTCAGAGTGCAGATTGTTTTTCTTGCCCATTGTATACCTGCACCATCTTCTTTAGCTGTCTGTTCATGCCGTATGCATTCTTAAAGATCCTGCGCGTATGTCCTCTTGTTGACAAAGAAGACAGATCTACCTTTTCCTTCCCCTGAACGCCTAAAGTACGTGGTCCTCTGTCATGGTGTCCATTCCAGCAGGCCTCTCACCTCAGTTGGCAGTTGATTCCTGTGGTGACTCTTTCTAGGCTATCATGCTTGTCTTTGTATCCCCCCATACCGTGTAGAGCTTGCTCAGACTTGGGAAGGAGTGCATTCCATACCTGTTGAGTTGTCAGAATGTGAAGTAAAAACCCAGTAAGTATATATTTGGATCTACATTGTATATAGTCTATGATTCTACTTTTGGAAGCAGTTTGATATTGGTAAGATGTCAAGGAAGAACTGCAGTTCATTGAAGCGCTGGTCTGCTTGTTTTTTTACTCACATTGTAGGACTGTTATGCCAGAGAAAAGAGAGATTGGGGGCATTTACTGACTCGCCCAAAATATACAGCTATAAGTGAGTATTGACGTCAGGATGCCAATCTAGTTTTTCTTCATCCAGAGAACTTTAAGGAGCCCCAGTTCATTACTGTCCTGACCTCTGTCCAAGATTACAGTGCTACAGTGCTTTCATTATGATGCTGCTTCTTAGCATTAATTTCAAAGGCACTAGGTACAAAGTCTTTGTCCAGTTTCTCTAGCCTTTGCTGAAACTTTTACCACTTAGTTCCACCCTTAGCAGACTTAAACATTATTAATTGGTAGATTAGTCTTCTCCAGCTGCCATAGCACCATATCATGGATTGAGTAGCTAAAACAACAGGAATTTGTGTCTCCTAGTTTTCAAAGGCTGAGAAGTCCAAGATCAAAGTGGTGTAACAAGGTAAGTTTCTTTCTTAGGCCTCTGACCTGGTTTGTGGGTGGTTGCCAGCTTAGTGAGTAATCACGTGGTTTCTTCAGAAGGTAAGAGGAAGGCAGAGAGTGAATTTTATGATGTCTTTTCTTCCACAACTCCCACCAATAATTCTGTTGGGCCAAGGAAGGCCTCATACTTGTATAAGACTTCATTTGGCCTTAATTCCTCAAATATCCAGTCCCCAAATATAGTCACGTTAGAGCTCAGGGCTTCAATTTTTTTGCTTCAGTATTTGAATTTTATGAGCACACAAATAGCCCAGGGATATTTTGCTTTAAGGTGTATATTAAATATACCCATTACACTCTTCTGGTAGTTTAGTTAATGTTAGTGATCTTGGGGAATTATCCTAATCATTTTCTATTTTTTTTTTTTTTTTTTTTGTGGTCGTGGGGCTTGAACTCTGGGCCTGGGCGTTGTCCCTCAGCTCTTCAGCTCAAGGCGAGCGCTCTACCACTTGAGCTACAGCGCCACTTCCTCATTTTCTATTTTTTAAAATGATATTAGAATTGTGCTTTTATTTAGATCTGTCTGTGGGTCTTTGCCACATACAAGGGGAACTTTTATTGCTTTTGGCTTTTGCTATTTTTTTTTGATCATTTGTACTTTAATGCAGCTGTTAGTGTACTGTTCTGTTGTGTATGATACTCTGCGCATGGTAGGCAGTTTTACACCAGCATAAAGATATATACATTTATTAAATGCTTATTGAGGGCCACTTTTATGAGGTTACTGGGCTGCTTGTTGGACCACAACCATGATTGGAATACGCAGTATGTTTTCTATTAGAGTAGGAGGCACAAAAGGGGATCACTACTTTAGCAGAGTAGAAGGTAGGGAAGGCCAGTCCATCTGTAATAAAAGCTGATGCATCTTGTTGTCATCTGTAACCAATTAAGGACGTTTTTTAGCTTTAGGCTAGAATATGCTTTCTAGCCTCAGAGTTTCCAGTGAGACACTTTCCTAGGGACATGTCCGTGGAAGTGTTTATGTACTAAGGACTGTAAGGTGCGTTTGCAGTATTCCAGCATCTTCCTGGAGTGTGGACCACTTTAAAGCACTGTATCACTGGGCACTGGTGGCTTATGATAGTATTACAGATCCTAGCTACTCAGGAGTCTAAGATTGGAGGATTGCAGCTCAAAGCCAGTCTGGGTAGGAAAGTTGGTGAGACTTTTCAATTACCACAAAAAGCTAGAAGTGAAACTGGCTCAAGTAAGAGTGCTAGCCTTTAGCAAAAGTGCTCAGGGAGAGTGGCCAGGACTTAAGTTCAAACCCCAGGACTGGAAGGAAAAAAAAAATAGCCCTATATGCTCTTTACAGTTACTTTCCAGTCATACCATGCTTTTTATTTTTTTTCCAGATCCACCTCAGCAATTTGTTTTAGAACTCCGATTATAATAAATGAGATATCTGAGGGAGGTGTGTGAGGACAGGGTCTTTGGTTGAGAGAGACTGGCGGTAATGGAAGCAAGGAGAATGGACAGAGGGGCAGATAGAGGTGGATAGAATGGATAGAGGTGGGCAGGGACAGCTCCCTTAATTTGTTCTACCCTTGGACCTTTACCAACTGACATCTGGATTGCGGATTGCTTAGTAGAGGCTGTCATTCCATCTAAATAAAAGAACAAGCCGAGTAGAAGAGCAAGGGCTTGGCAGTCAGAACTGGGTTTGAAACCTGGGGTCTTTGCCACTAATTATCTGTATTACCAAGGTAAATTCCTAAACCTCAGTTTTCTTGTCTAGGAAATGGGAATAATTCGTTAGTAGAAATAAACTACTTAGCTAAGAATCCATAAGAAGTCTTTGGAGTATATTGTTTTATACTAGAATCCCTTTACAGCTCTGCAGAACACAACCACATGGCCCAGGGAGGCCTGCTGTTCTACAAAATTAAGCAAAGTAAATTGGTAAGTCTGGATTTACTTAACTAGTGATTAAATAACAGTTTGGTTAATAGGCTATTAATGGTCCCCAGGTGTTGGTAATTCCAAGTATTTGCTTTTGAAAGCAGTTGTATAATTTCTTCTGGCACTTAAAAATTTCCTTAACAGAAATATCTTGAGTGTTACAAACAGTGCTCTTAAGGGCTATTTTTGGGAAGATTAAATAATATAGTGCACATAAAGCATCTGGTATAGTGCCTAACCCATGAGAAGTGCGGTTATCTGCTTTTGTCATTGCTCAACTGGCCACTTTTAGGGAAAAATTCTTTAGACTCCCCTGAAGTCCACCACCACCTAGCAGCATGTGGCAGTACCATGCATATGAAGAAGTATTAAATTGTGTGGCATGAATTTTGTGTTATTTCACTTCCAAGAATCCTATGTCAGAGTGTGGTTTATTTGCCTGAGATCTGGAATTCATATGTTGTTAAATGATGAAATGACTTTTTTTTTTATCTCTACAGTTGCTGAAGAATTTTTTTTAGTGTATTAACAGCAAGAGTAAATGAAGAAGGGAAGCAGGCATGTTAGTAGCAATGTAACGTAGTAGCAGCTGCTAGTAGGAATGTAAATTGGTACAGCATTTTACAAGGATAAGGTGCTGATGTCTCAGAACTCTGGAATGTTTCATCTTTTGTGGCAGCTATCCATTTTCTAGGAATATCTTTTAAAGAAATAAGATAGAAAAAGATTTAGAGCCAGGTGCTGGTGGTTTATGCCTGTAATCCTAGCTACTCAGGAGGCTGAGATCTGAGGAAAGTAGTTCAAAGGCAGCCCAGGCAGAAAAGTCCATGGGACTCAACTCCAAAACCTACTCAGAAAAAGCTGGAAGTGGCACTGTGGCTCAAATGGTAGAGCACTAGCCTTAAGTACGAGAAGCTCAGTGTGTGTGTGTAAAAGTATATATACATAGAATATGTGTAAAATAGCATTATATGTAATGCTATTTATAAACAAAAGTAGGATCAACCCCTTTTTGTTTGTGAATGAGAGCTGTCCTTAAATCAGTGTTGTTTGTTGTTTAACTTTTATTTTTTGTTTTCCTTTTTCTTTCGGTGCTACTGTAATCATAGAGTTTGAACTCAAGGCTTGATTGCTATCCCTAAGCTGTTTTTTGCTCAAGGCTAGTGCTCTACCACTTGAGCAACAGCTCCACTTCCAGCTTTTTTGGTGTGTGTGTAGTTAATTGGATATAAGAGTCTTACAGACTTTGTTGTTCAGATTTTAGCTTCCAGAGCAGCTAGGATTACAGGTGTGAGCCACTGGTACCCAGCTAGGATCAGTGATTTTTTTTTTTTTTTTGGTCAGTCGTACGGCTTGAACTCTGGGCCTGGGCGCTGTCCCTCAGCTCTTCAGCTCAAGGCAAGCGCTCTACCACAGCACCATTTCTGGCTTTTTCTGCTTATGTGGTGCTAAGGAATTGAACCCAGGGCCTCATGCATGCAAGGCAAGCACTCTACCACTAAGCCACCTTCCCAGCCCCATAGATCAGTGATTCTTAAAGAGTGGGGGGCATGGGGAAAGTGGGCATAATGGTAGCTCATCCGGCCAAGGAGTTGGGGGTGGGGGAATTAGGTAATAATCTGTTCAGGGTGCTATGTAGTTGAAGAGCATTCCACGCACCCACTGATTTCATTATAAAACTTACAGTAAAATGGACTGGAGATCATTCAGAAGAGAGATTATACAGAACAAGGGCTAATCGATTTAAGTTGGAGAACATTCCATTTTTTAGAAGGAATAGAAGTATTGATGAACACAGAAAACTTATGTTGGGTATTTGGACAAGAAGGTGGCCTGATCGTATATCATATAGAGACCTTAGTGAAATGTAATCAGGGCTGGGAATGTGTCACAGTGGGAGAGTGCTTGCCTTGCATGCATGAAGCCCTGGGTTCAATTCCTCAGTACCACAGAAAAAGCTGGAAGGGGTGCTGTGGCTCAAGTGGTAGAGTGCTAGCCTTGAGCAAAAGAAGCTCAGAGACAGTGCCCAGGCTTTGAGTTCAAGCCCCAGAACTGGCAAAAAAAAAAAAGAAATATGATCAAAGCACCAACGTGGAAAGCTAGGAATGCAGGGATACCTTGCCTGAAGATAAATGCCTTCTTGTTAACTAGTGCTTAGGGTCTGAACTGCTTTTGATGCATGTTTAATAAATCTCTGTCTCCAGCACTCAGTGTTCCCCATGTGAATATGAGTGGTGCCTGGTAGGAGGAGATCCTGACCACAGTAGTACCTCATTCTAACCTTCATTCTGGGGATGAGGTAGTGTGTTGTGGGAGAGCCTAGTTAGATTTTGTCACTCTCATGTGAAACCTATACTTCTTGGCCTTGACTTTACTAAGCACCTGGGTGCGAAATGTGCTCACTCAGCACTGTAAGGATGACAAGGCAGACATAAAGAGTCATTATTGAATAGTTTGGAACCACTCAAAGCTCAAGAGCCTAAGGGACAGTTCTAGATGATCAATAGCAATACCAGATTTCTGGAATAAACAGGAGTTAGACTTTCTATGTTGTTATCTTTGTGATCTCGGGCAATCTACTTTATGTTTCGGGTTTTCCATTCCTTCAGTTGTGAATGAGGACAGTGGACAGAGTCTCTCCACAGGCTTCTTTATTTCTGAAATGATTGAAATTGTTTATATAAGGTTGTATACTCTTAAAAGTGGCCCTTAGATCTGGGGAATCAAAGTTCCACATCTCCTTGTAAAGATAAATCTGAGGTTGCTCCAGGAACATGACCTAAGTCACACCTATAATGATGGAAATGTCAGATCTTTTGGAGTAATTTCCTCGTGATTCTGAAATCTTGGTACTATTTGCCTCATCTGTTCTGTTTGATTATACAGTGGCTTCTCTTGTCTTCATCTGTGACAAAAACTCGAGAGAGCTATTTGGTTCAAAATCTAGATGTAAAGGAATAGCCAGTTCCCTAACACTTAGCAGAAAAATAAATCAGGAAAATAGAGTTGCAGGTAGCTGTTATGTACCAGATATTCACAATATGATCAAGACTACTAGTAAAGTTGTGAATGTCAGAATTCAACATTATGGAAAAGAATGTTGTTGTTGTTGTTTTTCTTCTAACTCTTCCTCCCCCTCCTCTTCCTCTTCCTCTCCCTACTCATCTCCCCTCACCCCCTCCCACCTATCCCCCTTCCTCCACTTCCTCTTCTTCCTTCTCCTCTTGTGACACTCCTGGGGCTTGAACTCAGCACCTTGGTGCTGTCCTTTAGCTTTTTCTTTCAAGTCTGGTATTCTACCACCTGAGCCATACCTCTGCTTCTTTTTGGTAGTTAATTGTAGATAAGAGTCTCATGGACTTTCCTCCCAAGCTAGCTTTGCTTCTTAAATCTTCCAAAATCAGCCTCCTAAGTAGTTAGGATTATAGGAGTGAACCACCAGGGGCACACAGCTGTACTCATCTTCTCTGAAACAAGGAACCTGCCCAGTTAAGGCTTATGCTTAAGTGATGTGTGACATTTTTCTTGCTAGAGTTGGTAATTCTTGTCTCAAACTTCCTTTTTCAGGATAGCTAACTACCCAGAGAAATATAGTGGAAAATGCAAAACAACGAAATTATAAAGCCTGCCAAATACTTCTCGGAGTTGGAAAAGAGCATCTTGCTTGCTTTAGTAGAAAAGTACAAATATGTGCTGGAGTGTAAGAAAAGCGATGCCCGAACTATTGCCCTCAAACAACGTACCTGGCAGGCGCTTGCCCATGAATACAACTCCCAGCCAAGCGTTTCCCTGCGGGATTTCAAACAGCTAAAGAAGTGCTGGGAGAACATCAAGGCTAGGACCAAAAAAATTATGGCTCATGAAAGGAGAGAGAAAGTGAAGCGGAGTGTGAGCCCACTGCTCAGCAGCCACGTCCTGGGGAAGGAGAAGATCAGCACCATGCTGCCTGAGCAACTCTACTTCCTACAGAGCCCTCCTGAGGAGGAGCCGGAGTACCACCCTGATGCCCCAGCCCAAGGTACTGCTCCTGGTGATGATTTGCATACTATTTTAGTTTTTAAAAATCTTTCATTTAGAGGGAAAAAAAGAAACTTTAACATAAAACTTGATTTTGTTTCCCTTTTTATTTCCTCCCATCCTTCCCTGCCTGCTCCCCTCCCTCCCTCCCCCTTCCTTCCTTCCTTTCTTTTTCTTCCCTTTTCTTCCTTTTATTTATTTTTGGTGCCCTATCCTGGGGCTTGAACTCAGGGCCTGGGCACTGTCCCTGAGCTTTTCTGCTCAAGGTTAGCACTCTACCACTTGATCGCTCCACTGCTGGCTTTCTTTGGTAGTTGGTTGTAATTGGAGATGAGTCTCCCAGATTTTCGTACCTGGGCTGCCTTCTAACCATGATCCTCATATCTCAACCTCCTTAGCTAGGATTGCAGGTATGAGCCTAGGAAACTTGACTTTGTAGAGACTATTACTGTTTGTAGGGATTATATTAAGAGACTGTATTAATTGGATGGTTATTAATGAGGTACTTCAGTTGCTTACCTCAACCTAATTTGAAATACATTAAAGAGAAGTTGATGAGGATTTATATTCATTCACTTGGTCTTTTCATTTTAAAATTCTTTTGAAGACTGCTTATGTGCAAAGCATAGTATTCAGTCACTCCAAGTCCACATTAAAAGAGTAAACTATTTCAAATTTAAAATCAAAAAGGTACAGTCTGGCATAGTGATTCATGCCTAGCTAATCGGGAGGCTGAGATCCATAGGATCAAGGTTCAAAGCCAGCCTAGGCAGATAAATCCATGAGATTCCTTCTCCAAAAATAACTACAAAAGGGCAGGCTGTTAGTGTGGCTCAGATGGTAGAGCACCAAGTGGTAAGGCAAATAAGCTGGGCAAACTCAAGTTCCTGAGTTCAAACTCAGAAACGAATATAGCAGAACACTGATTGATTGCATGGCTCAAGCAGCTCTGAGTTCAAACCTTACCTAACCCAATTAGCAAAAACACCTAGTTAGTATTCACCAAGATTAAAAGCCAGTATCTCTACTCATACCAATAATTGTGATCTAAAGTTTGTTTTGTGGTATTGTAGTGATTTAGAGGAATTCTAGAGAAAATTTTCTTGTTTTTGTTTTTTTGTTTTTGGTCGACCGTGGGGCTTGAACTCTGGGCCTGGGTGCTGTCCCTCAGCTCTTCAGCTCAAGGCGAGCGCTCTACCACTTGAGCTACAGCGCCACTTCCAGAAAATTTTTTTTTTTTTATATGTCCATTGAAGGGAGCTAAATATGTCACACAATCCCATGGAAGAAGAAGACTACCATGTCATCAAAGCACAGGGATAGCTTGTTGTAGCTTCAAAAGATAGGCATTAAAGCGGTATTAAAATGTCTCCAGAGAAGGGAAGGGTAGAAATGCACAGCAATAAATTTCTAATAATTCCTACTTTTTTAAGATAGGAAGTGGTCAGTAAATGTTCATTGCAGTAGGGAAAGGACTCCTTGAGTAGAGGAAGGTTGCTGGACAGCTAGCCTTCATGATTGCTTGTCTGTTGTTCTGAGGGCCCCGCAAGCACATGTCTAGGAAAATCTGGTTCTTTATTTTTAGGATGGGAAATTTACTTATCCCCAGAGTAGATTGAGCTCTGAGGGATTGGCTTCTGTTAATTAAGTCACAAGAAACTGTCTGGAACCAAGAATGTTATTTCTGTAGAGTGAGAAAGATAATTACCAAGTGATCCAACTGTATGCTTTTCATTAGCACCTTTTTTTAAATTCCTGGAGAGCTCAATTAGTATCAAAAGTTTCCTTGCTGGTCATTTGACTGAAGTTAAGTCCAGGAACCCAGTTGAGTAGCCAATGTGGTTAGTGTCCTAAAACTTAGGCATTAGTTCCTACTCTGGAAGCTTTTTATGTCTGGGTTTTAATTCTTGGGTTCCCAAGCCAGGTTAACTTCTGGCAGTAGCCTTGGGCCCCACTGCTAAATGACAGTGTTCTTGCTTTGGAGAGGCTTATAGCTTCAACCAAGTAATTCTGCTCCATCTTGCTAGCCTCTGAGCCATTCAGTCTCCAGGTGGCAGTATAGGGACTGGTGCAGAGGGAGGAAAGGACTGGCTGAGCAGAGCTCTTTTCACATGGCTGTTTGCTGAGGGCAAGGCTGACATGAACTGCATGTAGCTCATTTTGCTCACTTGAATCCTGGGTTACCCTGTGTTGACTTCCAAGGGTTATTCTTAGGTGGCAATCTTATTTCCACATATTCAAAAGCTGAGGTAGAATCTAGAAAGTTCATCTCCCTCGTTTTTTTTTTTTTTGAAAGAAATGATGTAATTCACTTATAAACAGTACATACATTTCAAGAAGGGAATAAATAGGGATTTTTGCTGACCTTCCTGTAGTGACATTTACTAAGGACTTACTTGCAAAAGGGATGTATTTTAAACTGGATGTCTGTGCATAGGTGACATGGGAGACCTCCCTTTTCACTGGTGCTTTTTTTTTTTTTTTTGGTCGGTTGTGGGCTTGAACTCTGGGCCTGGGTGCTGTCCCTTAGCTTTTCAGCTCAAGGCGAACGCTCTACTGCTTAAGCCACAGTGCCACTTCCGGTTTTCTAGTAGTTTATTGGAGATGAGTCTCACAGACTTTCCTGCCCGGGCTGGCTTTGAACTGTGATCCTCAGATCTCAGCCTCCTGAGTAGCTAGGATTACTGGCTTGCTGGTGCTTATTAAGTACCACTGGATACTGCTGCTTGTGTTTTTCTGTCACACCTGGAGAGCGGGGAACTCTAGTACTTGCTCATTTGGGAATATATGCTCAGAGTAATCAGTTAATATTAGTAGTTAAGGTGTTGTAACACTCCCTACAATAAAAAAGCTTTGAGGGGGGAAGTAGATCTGTGACTCAAGTGGTAGAGTACTAGCCTTGAGCAAAAAATCTCAGGGCCCATGCCTTTAGTTCAAGCCCCAGAACCTGCAACAAAGAAAAAAAAAACTTTTAGGTTGTTTTACTCACTAGGTATTTCCATTTACTTACAAAAAGAAAACAGGTGCAGGCGGGGCATTTATGGCCCTCATTATCTTGTGTGTATTCAGACACATGGACTTTGTGTCTATATTTGTTTTACTTTTGTCTCTTTAATGTTGTGTTGTCTAGTACGGCAGCCACAAGCCACATGAGGGTAATAAGCACTTGAAATGTGGGCAGACCAAATTAAGACGAACTAAAAATGTACATACCACATTTTGAAGATTTGATACCACAAACAAGAATGTAAAATATGCCAGGCTCACGCCTGTGATCCTAGCTACTCAGGAGGCTGAGATCTGAGGATCACGGTTCAAAGCCAGCTCGTGCAGGAAAGTCTATGAGACTCTTATCTCCAATAAACCACTAGAAAACCGGAAGTGGCACTGTGGCTCAAGCGGTAGAGTGCTCGCCTTGAGCTGAAGAGCTGAGGGACAGCGCCCAGGCCCAGAGTTCAAGCCCCATGACCGAAAAAAAAAAAAAAGTAAAATATTTCATTTCTACTTTCTACATTGCTTACACAAAAAAATGATAATAGTTTAGGTATAGTAGATTAAAATTGGTGTTATTTCTCTCTCTTTCTCTCTCTTTGTTATGGGGCTTATACTCAGGGCCTGGGCTCTTATCTCTGAGCTTTTTGCTCAAGAGTAATGCTCTACGACTTTGAGCCACAGTGCCATTTCTGGTTTTCTGGTAGTTAATTGGAGATAAAGAGTCTCACAGATTTTCCTGCCTGGGCTCACTTTAAACAGCTATTCTCAGATCTCAATCTCCTAATTAACTAGAATTGCAGGAATGAGCCACCAGCACCCAGACCTTATTTTCTTTCTAATGTGGCACTTAGGTAGCTTATAATCAATTTTCATTCAACACTATTGTTCTGACACCTTCCAGGGTGCCTGTTGAGAGAACTAGATCCCAAAGATTTGATGGAGTTTTATAAATTTAAGCTGGGCCGATACCAGTGGCTCATACCTGTAATCTTAGCTACTCAGAAGGCTGAGATCTGAGGATTATGGTTTGAAACTAGCTTGGTCAGGAAAGTCTCCAAGATTCTTGCCTCCAACAAAAACTACTAAGAAAAGCCAGAAGTGGAGCTGTGACTCAGAGACAGCGCCCAAGCCCTGAGTTTAAACTCTAGGACTGGAATAAGAAAAAAAGTTAAGCTGGAACAAAGTCTAGTAGTATTTCACTAGAGGCTTCCCTCCAACTACATTTTGGTGTGAGATGGTATCACTGTCATCTTGGTCACCATCTACTGGATCTCCTAAACTTTGGCAGTGCCTTTCTCAAAATGTATAGTTGTAAGGTGTCTCATACCTGTAATCCTAGTTACTCAGGAAGCTGAGATCTGAGGATTGTGGTTGGAAGCAAGCCAGGCAAGGGCATTCATGAGACATTTATCTCCAGTTGAGCACCAAAAAACAAAAAAAAAAGAAAGAAAGAAAAGAAAGGGAGGAAGGAAAAAAGAAAGAAAGAAAGAAAACGAAAGAAAAAGTTGAAAGTGGAGCTGTGTCTTAGGTGGTAGAATGCTAGCTTTGAGCAACAAAGCTCAAGGACAGTGCCTTGGCTCTGAGTTCAAGCTCCAGGACAGGCACCCCACCCACCCCCCACCTCCAAGAAAAAAAAAGTGCAGTTGTATTTGAGCACAGGAGTCTTACTAAAGTTTAAGAAAAATATTTGGGAACATATTGAAAAGAAAATATAGTATTCACCCCACAAATATATTAAACCAGTTTACACCCTACACGTTCTCTGACTGATTGACTTTGACATTTATTTTTCATTATTTTGGTGGAACTGATGTGGAAATTAAACTAAGGAAGCTATCACAATTTGCCAAGGCGTAACTGTGAGGGGAGAATGATAGGCCAAATGCATTTAAGGAAGCTAGGCTTTTGAGGAACACTTAATGTCTCAGGATTTTTTTTATCTTTTATATGATTATTTCTCTACTAGATTGAATCATGTAAATATTGCTTTTAAAATTCCAAAATGTA